TTTTCCATTGTCCAAAAGAACACGAATCAAGTTACAGCACATTTTATAAATTGCTCAGTTTTGTCAAGGAGCAAATGAAGAGAAGATTATTTAAATAAAGACTGAACAATATATATAAAAAAAAGAAGAAAATTATGAAGAATAATAACCTCATATTTGCATTTACCTATTTTCTGTTTCTCCATTTTATACACACACACACACACACACACACACACACGCACACAAACATGCACACACACATGCACACACCTCTTAACCTCTTATCTCAGACAGCCAGTTTAGATTTTGTATTCCTTTTCTCTTCATTAAACCCAACCCATTAAGCCATCACTTCACCCACTATCAGCTTCCCCCTTTCCCATGACCCTCACCATCCAACCCACCATCAGAAACAAGTCACCTAAACCCACCTTTCTCCTTCTCCATAACATTATCCTTCAAACCCCTCCCCATCCATCCCTGCCCCTATAACCTTAACTCATTAACCTACCCACACCCACCTTCTCCTTCCCATAACCAGTCAACCAAACAAAGAACTTTTCCCCAGCAAATTTTTCCCCTTTTTCATTACCCCACAAACCAGCCCATACCCACCCATCAACCAACCTACTAACCATCCCACTTTTCCTCTTTCACTCACAGCCACCTACCCCCTTCCCCATACCCAAACTAAACCACACACCTAAACCCACCTTTCCCCTTCCCCATCACTTCCAACCCACCTAGTACCACACCCATCCACCCACCCACCACACTCGTCCACCGACCCACCTTCAGTGTGAGTTCCGACGTGAACATCCTTGGGCATCTGGGACACCTGACGTACTCTGCCCTCTTGGAGTGGGTGCGCAGGTGAGATGTGAGGTAGCGAGCCTGTGCGAAACTCCTCCCACATATCCGGCATATGTGGCTCTGCTTCTTCTCCGTGGTTCCTGATGTGTGGCTCTCACGCTTCTCCTCCTCTGTGATCTGAGGTGATGAAGGGAGGTTTTTAACCCATTGGTGCTGTGTAATTGCACTATCCACTGTAGTTTTAATTTTTTAAGCATACCTGTCCTCTAATGATATCCTCATTCCTTGAATTATGTTATTATCAGTAATAATAGCAGGCCACAACACTCACCTGCGCTGCTTGTGGGTGATGACTGCGCATGTGCACAGTTTCCAGGTACATCCGGCGCTTGAAAGCTGCTCCACACACCTTGCACAGGTGGCGCTGAGTTCCATGTTGTTCCTATGAATATTTTTTAAAAAATGTAATGTAATGTTGCTGCTCACTCTTGAGAGAAATAAAATCTAAATATACTATTATGTACTCTAATACAGTATGTGTTATGATTTCACTACAGTCTTTTAATATACTGTAATGGTATATGTTATAATGTAGTATAAAGTAGTGAAGCCAACAAATCAACTGTGATTGATGGACTAAACAGAACCTTATCCTTAGTGAGTGCACAGCTGATGTATAGATATTTGTCTATAAGCGTGATAAGTTTGACACAAATACCCTATACTTTACCATGGAAAATGAAAGGGATTTAATTTTTGAAGACAATAATGATAATCAAATACTTCTCCACCATAAAAACAAAACGAACATGACACTAGAGAACACGACCCACCAAAAAAAGGAATAGCACCACCATATGACTTACCCTTACATGCCTTGCCAGCTCTCTCTGCCTGACAAACCCCTTGCCGCAGGTCTTGCACACGTGTGGCCTTATGCCCTCGTGGGTGTGCTTGTGCTCAGTCAGGTCACGCATATATCTGTCAATGTATTGTACATTATGTTTCTAAGTTGATCTAAGAGTGCATGCAGTACATACATACATATGTGTATGGATATATCTATATCTATATCTATCTGTACACACACAAACATATACACATACAAACATTGCGAAAACTGTAGAAAAGGCATTGATAAAAAGGACTGACAACACATGACAAGATCTCTATGTATTTTGAGGTTATGTCTTCATCAGAATTACAAATTATGACACAAAGAGAAATCCTGGACTGAAATTCCCAACAGAAACAGAGAAGACATTATGCATGTGGGATGTCTGAGAGGAAAATGACTTATCAGAAAGAAGAAGGCACTTGAGTGAGAAACACAAGAGAACCAAAACAGAGAAGAAGGAGAGAGAGAGAGAGAGAGAGAGAGAGAGAGAGAGAGAGAGAGAGAGAGAGAGAGAGAGAGAGAGAGAGAGCAAGCGAGCGACTGATTGAGAGAGACAGAGAGAGAGAGAGAGAGAAAAAAAAAAAAAAAAAGAAGAAACAAAGGGAAATTACCTGAAAAAAGAAAGCAATAAAAGATTTAAAATCTAAAGAACAATCGAAATCTAAATAAAAAAAATAAAAAAATCCCCTAACCTGAAGGATTTAGGGCACAGGTTACACAAGTGCGGCCGATCCTGAGTGTGAGTCAGCATGTGGGTCTTCAGGTTGTATTTCTCCGTGAAGGCCTTGCTGCACACCTGGCACTGGAAGCTCTGGCTGTGCTTTGCCCGGTGCCGCTCGAAACGTGCAGCTGAAGTGAAGCTCTTGTGGCAGGTTTCGCAAGTGTAGGTTTCATCCAGGCCGAATGCATTTGATGCTTCTGAAGAGTCTCTTTGGGGATAAGAGATAAAGGAATAGAGTTAGTAGTGTGTATTGAGTCGTTCAAAGGGATGTAGTGTTTTTAGAAGATATAGGTGGGAAAAAGAAGTATCTTATTTCTTGGGTAAATATTTTGCTTGGTTATACTTCAGATATACTGGATAAAAAATATGACATGAAAAGCATAAGCTACTGAAACTATATAATAGCCCATTTCTAACAGACAGACAAGACAAGACAAAGACACCTTACTCTCTGAAATTCATGAAAAGAGAAAAAAGGAAAAAAGGAAAGAAGAAAAGAAAGGAAGAAAGAAAGAAAAAAAAAAGTATGTGTATATTACTTTTTTGAGTGCACATTTCTTTTCCTGACGAGGGATTTCTGCGACCTGATTTTCCTGGGTGACGACTGGATGATCTCGACAGTGACTTCCTGGGGAGGGTCTGGCTTGCTTCCGCTGGAGGGCTAGAATGCAGCAAATACATCTTTTATGTTCAATATTTTATGTTAAATTTCCATTTTTCTTTCCACACAGATATTGCTGTTTTATCTATTTTTCAATAGATTTATACTGGACAGAACCATTGTTTATTGATCAACTTTTCAGGAATTACTTTGCACTGAAGGGAATCTTTAAATCCATTAAAAAGCAGACCATTACTTTCTAATTATAATGATCTTTTTAAAGGCATTCACACCAAAAACAAATATGGTTCTACTTTATCAGTTTTTGAGACCTGTTAAGACAATGACTCATGAAAATATTATATTCAAGGGAAGTCCTTCAAGTAAAGATGAAGAACAAACTGGCTTTTTTCCAAACTTACCTCAGCGGCATGAGCTGGTGGCCCCTCCTCCTGTGTCACTCCTTCTAGGGGGGGTACAGAAGGCCTCATGAAAGACTGCACAAGTGGAGTGCCATGGCTTGCATTGGAATCTCCTGAGGCATTGGTGATATTCGTTAATACTTTATTGTGTTTATAAATATGCTGTCAAGCCAAAACAGTAGAAAACCCATTTTTCTCAGACTATGAATATATAATTATATATCAATATATATTAAAGATAAATAAATAAGTAAATAAATACATAAAACATATAATATATATGTGTGTGTGTGTGTGTGTGTGTGTGTGTGTGTGTGTTGTGTGTGTGTGTAAAGAGACAGAGACAGACATACAAATAAAAAAATATTATTTGCAAGTGACTGACCTGCATCTGGATGCATCACATGATCCTCCTCCACAGTTATTGAGGGAGAGTGTGTCTGGCTGTCTGCCGAGGCACTCCCTTCCATCATCAAGCCTGAGGAATTGGGATCGTGTTGGGGAGCTTCAGCCAGGGTCAGGAGCACGCTGGCCACTGAGGTGCTGGAAGGGTTGCTGAAGCTGCCGTGCTGTGAGAGGAGATATTCATCAGAAATGACAAAAAAGTAGTTGCATTTAGTGAAAGGGAATTTTATAATTCTATATAGCAGTTCTGGAAACTGTACAGCTTTTCAGAGTACCTCATCCAATGATACGTAAACGAAATTATCCCAATTATAACAAGTAAGATTTGTCATTAGATTACTAGAAGTTACCTTAGGCTGTGAGATATCAGTACAAGATCCAGATGAAACACCTGAGAAGGGAACCGAACCAACCACTAATACTGGAGCATTATTGTCCTCTTGTGGCGCAATATTAGAATTATCCATCAGGAAAGTTGAATTCTCCCCACTGCCGTTTGGCTGAGGAAGGACGGTGGGGTGAGAAGGGGTGGGCTGTCCACTAGAAAGGTTGACAATAGAGCTGCTTTCTGTCGGTAGAAGCAGTCCGCTAGTATTGCTGGTTGGCAAGCTGATGGTACACAAGGGTTTCTCTTCCTTCAAATCTGGTTCTAATTTCCTCTGCCTCTGTTTAGGTACACTCTGTGGATGGCTGGGCATGCTGGAGAGTGTCTGTATTGGCTGCTTGCCCTGGCTGCCTGTGGGTCCCACAGGAGCGGACATCTGAAGCACCACAGGGACATTTGGAGGAACGTTGCTGTTTGCATTGGGATACTGGAGAATAACATTTGTAGGACCCACTTGCGGAGGAGCCATGCCAGTGGGAGCTTGTGCAATGACGATGGGCATTTGTGCCGCTCCTCCCCCGACTTGCACGAGACAAGGGGGACCTGACTGAGTAGGAGCCACAGGCATGCACAGCTGTGGTGGAGGGGCAGCACTGGCCACCTGGAGAGGCTGCACAGGCTGTGGAGGGAGGTAGGGTGCCGTCCCCCCTTGAACTGCCAAAAGATGCGAGGAATGGGCAGTTGTGACATGAGCGACACAATCTCCCTGACTGCTGTAGTGTAAACCACAGACAGAACATTGGAACACAACACGATGGGCGGATGCGACGTGGAGATCCATGTGCAGCTGGGAACAGGCGGTTGCACCACATACTCCACACTGCAGGGGAGTGGCTCCCTCTCCACCGCATTCAACACACTTCACATTGAGAACCCTGACCTGCAACATCCCTTGGGTATCATCAACAACTGTAGTTACATTCTGAACTGTCCTCTCCATGGACTGAACTTGCCCGCTGTTATCCAAAACGGGCATTCCCAAATTTGCCGAAGATACGACGACGGGTCTGATAGTCACAGGAGTCTCCAGCATAGCCTTTGGGTTATCGGGATCGTCTGGGTTTTCCACATTTTCAACAGTTGTCTTGTGTGACTTTCTCAGTGAATTCGGACACGTGCCGCTCAGCACCTGACGCACTTTCTGGTGTTCTTGTATGCGCACTGCCTCCACTGTGGCCTGAACTGTAGGACTCAGCTTGTGGCTTCCTAGCTCTGGGATAACATATACCTAGAAGAAATACATGAATATACTATATATTGTGTTTATCAAAGCAAATACTTTTATAATCTTTGAGTAAGTAAGACAGTAAATAGATGAAAAATAAATGCTCTTTACCATGCATACCAAGTGTCTCTGCATAAACATGGATAAAGTTTATGCTTTTGTACATTACCAGGAATGTGGTTGAGGGATACACTTTTTATGTACAATAATATATTTAAAAGAAAAAAAAAATCACAATGTCAGTGTATCCAGGAATATCTTACCTCATGCAACGACTTCCTGTTGGAGCTATCAAGGCGCTCAAAAGGAAGGCTGTGAGTTTTCTGGAGGTGAGTGCGAAGGTCCTGGGAATAGGCGTAGCTCTGCCCACATGCACCACATACCTGAAAGTAAAGAGGGAAATATAATCTAGAAAATAATTACCCGGAAACTCTCTTCTCCTCTTCTCTCTCCATCTCCTATTCCTTCTCTCCTTTTATCCCTGGCCATCTGCTCTCTTATCTCCTCAGTCCCTCCTTCTCCTCTCTCATCCTTCTTCTCTCTATCCTTTTTATTTTCTCTCCTCTCTTCTTTAATCTATTCTCCTTTCTATCTCTCCTCCTTTGATTCTTTCTTTCTCTCTAGCTCTCTCTCACTCCCCCCCTTTCAAGTGTGAGAGAGCATATTTGTCAGTCCATCAAGGTAAATCTCTTTATATATCTCCTTTACCTTTCTATCTGCCTCTCCTTCTCTCCTTTTACCCATCTCTCCCTTTTTGTTTACCTTTCTCTTCTCTTTCTCTCCTTTAATCTGTCTTCCTCCTGCAAACCTTTTGCCTGTTTTTTTTTTTCTCCTCTCTCTTTTACCTCTCTTTCTACATCTGCTTAATCTTTCTCCTTCTAGCTCTCACTCTTCAACCTCCAACACTTATTTATCTGTTCTTTCCCCCCTTACTCTCTCTTCTTACCCTTACCTCTCCTCCCAGTCCCTCTACCCTTCTCAAGCCCTCACTCACCCAGCGCTTCAGGTGATAGTGGACCATCAGGCGATGACGGAGGAGGTTGGCCCTGTCTCCGAACATCTTGCCGCACTCCACGCACGTCTCCTTGGTGTTGCTGTGGATCATGCGGTGGTGAGCCTTGCATTGCTGTGAAAGAGGGGTACAAAAGAGAGAGGGAAGTGGAGAAATTTAGTTTTTGTGGTGCAAGTTATTATCATCATTTTATAATTGTGTTCATTATACAGATAGTCCCCTACTTAAGAACATTCTACTTATGAACATTCCATACTTACAAACAAAAATTTTTAAGTACTAAAGTCAAAAAAATGGTTTGAAAGATGCTAGCAAACATCAAATTTCCCAGGCACAAATATAGTTATAGAGTCTGGTACTGTATAAGGTATGTCATACTTTTTGGGATTTATTTACAGGTGGAGGAAGGAGTTAGTGAAGGAACGAGGAGGAGGAGGAGAAGGAGGAGGAGGAGGAGGAGGAGGTGGAGAAGGAGGAAGGAGGAGGACACTTATAAAGCACTAGCCATGAACTCACACTTCGCCAATTCACGTACCTGTAAGCGCTTAAAACACTTGCCGCATATTTCGCACACATACGGTTTCTCTCCCGTGTGGATCCTCATGTGCACTTGCAGCTGGCTTTCGTAGGCATACTTCTGAGGGCACCTTGGGCACGAATGTCTGCAATTGAAGCAAGGAGCAGAACTGTGAGATCAAGAGAGAGGTGCGAGAGGAGGGATAATAACTGTAAAAATATAAATATAATAATAGTAATGAGTGATGATAACAATAATGAGAGAAAAAAAGTGATGCTAACAATAATGGTAATAATAAAAATAGTAATAGTTTTAACAAATGATAATAATACAAATAACATCAATAAATAATAATAATAATAATAATAATAATATCAATAATAACAGCAACAATAACCATGAGAATGTGATGATAAAAATGATGATGGCAATTTTAAGATTCCTATTAAAAATATGGAAATATCTTTGTGAAAAACTGAAGGAAGAGAAGAACTACAAGAATATAAACTGAAAACAATCTAAAAAGAAAAAGCAGATACAGAAATAAAAGCAGAAAACTGTGCACAAAAAATGAAGAAATACGATAGAAAATTCCTTCACCTCAGATGAAGGAAAAAAGAAAAGAAAAGAAAGAAAAAGAAGAAGAAGAAGAAGAAAAAAAAAAGATGAAGAAGAAAAAGAAAGCAAGTAAGAAGAAGAATACAAGAACAAGGGGTAAATAAACTTGCAAAGCACCCGGAGAAACTTCCTTCCGTACCGAGTCTTATGATTGGGGTCGTGGCTCCGCATGTGCACAGCCAGCCGCTGAGCCGACAGGAAGGACTCGTCGCACGTCTGGCACACGTACTTCTGGTCGTGACTCGCCATGTGCCGCAGGAGGCTTCGGTGCCGGATGTAGTTACGGCCGCACTTGTCACAGGACCAGAGTGGCTCCATTTCGCCATGAGTTACGAGATGCCTGCAAGAATGTAAGGATGATAGGAGGGGTGTCAATTGAGGGGGGAGAGGGGGATTGATTAATTACTAGATCTGCCTACCTTCACCTATTTAACCCCATTGCTTGAATATTCAGGAAAAATTTGCTATCTCTTCTCTTCTTTTTTTAAAAAACATTTTTATCACTTAATAACAGTAATAGTAATAGATATAAATTTCTTCATTATCACATTATCAATATTAAACTTAATAACAGTAATAGTTATAAAGATATCTTTTCATATCACTCTTTGGACCAAGGACAATGAAATCCTCTTTCAGGCAATCTAAATCACCGCTAAAGTTCCTCAAATTATAGATAATTGTTCAAAAAGATTGAAAGCAACAGATTAGTTACGGCCATAGGCAACGAGCTCCTGAGTCAACTTACGAATCAAGGTGGACTTTTGTTGTAAACTTTCTGTCGCAAATTGGGCACTGCAACTTCTTTGACTCGTGGTTCACCTGAAAAATGGGAAAAGTATATAATGAGAGAGAGGGAATGAGAGGAAAAGAAGAAGAAGAAGAAGAAGAAGAAGAAGAAGAAGAAGTAGAAGAAGAAGAAGGAGAAGAAGAAAAGAAAAAAAAATTGACTTATGGATCACCTGAAAAATGGGAAAAGTAGATAATGAGAGTGAGGGACGGAGAGGGAGTAGGAGGAGCAGGAAAAGAGAAGGAAAGGGAAAGGGAAAGGGAAAGGGAAAGGGAGAGGGAAGGAGAGAGGAAAAATAGGGAGGAGCAAGAAGTAGGAAGAGGAGGAGGGAGCAAGGGGGAGGAAGAGGCAAATGAAACAAGAGGGAGAGAGAAAGGAGAAAGAAGATGGAAGAGAAAATAGAGATGAAAGTACCAAATTATAAGAACCAATCTCCCCCACCCTACCACAACAGTCTATACATTACCTCCAACTTCATCCCAAAACCCCTCCAATCTTTCCCCCTTCTTGACACAGGACCCCAACGCATAACATACTTTCCCCCTTAGACACAATACCTTATGAACACGGGCCATGTGCTCCGTGAGGTGCGCTCTCGTCCGAACCCTCCTCTTGCAGATGGTGCACTGCTGCTGGCCCTGACTGCGGGAATGGGTGCCCTGGTGCCGACTCAGTGCTGACTCTGAACGGCAGGTCTTCCCGCATTCCAAGCAAGAGTAGTGTAGGGGTGCTGTTTAAAAATATATTTTTTGGTAAGAACAAAGTAAAGTAAAGTAAAGCAAAGTAACACAAAACAATCTTTCAATCAATCAGTCAATCCTTTGAATCTTTTTGTAAAATTCTGAAACCTGTGGAGACATTTTAGGAAGAGACTGGTACCTTTGAAAATACTTTAAAATCTTTAAAAGTTTACAAAAATAATTGTGAGGTTACTATTTGGACACAAAGATACTGATTGGATGGTATATGGTAAAAAATATACAAGATTTACAGATATGCATAACAGTGAATGATGATATTCATAATCCCAAGTCATAATTCTGTTAGTTTTCTGTTTCTCCAAGTAACCCGAGCAGTTTGAGGGCAGAATTGCAATTTGTGTTGGGGAATGACAGCCAAGGGGTGCTAGTCCTACAGCAGAGGTTCATATTACTTTGAATTTGCCGTATTTGTAGTTTTAAGTCTTACAAATCTTTAGAAGTCTGTTGTTGTCTATAATTTTTTTTTGACAAATTAAAATTTAAGATCTTTGGTGCCTAAATATGTTATAAAATTTATCTATAAATAATACAGATATTTCAAAATAAGTTGAATTAACAGAAACAAGAAGCGTTCTAAAATACAGATTCTGTTAAGATTACGGTTATACAAATGGGAGAAAAAAAATCAGACATGATTATTCTTTAAATTTTCCCCTACAAATCTAAGAAAATAAGAATAACCTCGTGTTAAGAGTAGGTGAAATTTGGTGTTCTCAATTTCTGATTTTAATATGTAATCTGCACTGCCTGTTTTACATATAACTGCTGGTGTGTCTATGAAGCCAGGGAGAAACTGGTCCACCTTTGCATTATCAAAGCAAATGACACTCCATCAAAAATCATGTTGACATATACTTCACACAAATACAGTTACCAACATGACAAAATGTTATAAAAGAAAAAGGAAGCACGAAGACACGCCATTTCCAAGTGAAAACTACCCTTGATGACGGGTCCTCCTGACGGCGAAGTTTGGTCCTGTGTCTTGTGGATGCTCAGGTGTCTCTTCAGCTGCTTTACGCTCTGGAATTTCTTCTGACACTTGTCGCACTCTATTACCTGTTTGTGGGAGATGGTGGTGTCGGTACTATAATGTTTGGGATGGTTTAGCTTTTATGGTTCTTTCTTTTCATGATTCACATCTGGATTTTATTCATTACTGTATTCACTTTTAATAATCATTATTTTTTTCTATTTATTTGTTTATTTTTTTGCAAGTAACAGTATGATTTCCTTTTGTATCATTTAGTGAAAATGAAGGCAAATCTCCTTATATCACAGCTAATTTTTTTTTCTATAATCATTATTTGTGAAGGTGGAGGGAAAGTACAAAATATATAGAAATGTTACTCTCTTTGCAGTATATAGTAATTTCTCTGAGAAAGTGAAACCTGATTAACCAACCTGACTGTGCCCGTCTTTATGTGCAGTGAGCTCCTCCAGAGATGAGAGGTACATATTGCACAGGCCACAGCGATGCAAGGAGGGTCCCTTCTCGATCACCTTCTGCAGAGCATCTTCCTTGTTCTTGGGCTTTTTCCCTTCATCTTCTGCAACGCTAGCTACGGCCTCTACTAAGCTACCGACTACATCCTGTGCAGCGCTGAAATCGTTGTCACAGCTGGTGGTATGTTCCTTGTGGGCGCTGCCTGTCATCAAACACAAGGGAAGCTGGCTATCAGGGTCTCTACTTGGTGGCACATCTTTGTTCACAAGCTTCTCACTCTCTTTGGATGCTGGAGGACAGACTGATGCATTCTGAGCCCTCATCTGCAAATATCTCTCTAAAAGTAGATCCATCTTGCGATCGGATGAATCCCGGGCAATCAGGATCTCGCGGACTTCACTGGTGCTGAGGTCGTGTTGCCTCTGGAGATGCAGCATCAGCCAGCTCTCATCCTCTGCCAGGTACTCGCATCCATCCTGGGAGCACCGCTGCAAGGCATGTCGCCAGGAATGCAACTGCAGAGTGCTGCCACAGGTGAATCTGGCGCCACAGATGAGGCACAGATGGGGACGAATCTTGGCCAAGTGCTCCTTCGCATGGGCAACCAGCTGATGCTGAGCAGCAAACTTGAGAGGACAGCTGGGGCAAAGGAGGGTAGAGGGATGCTTGCGGACATGAGCCTTGCACTCAGCTGCTGTGAAGAGCTGGTAGCCACACACTGGGCATGCCAAAGCCTTGTTCTTCACCCCATGCTGGACTCGCAGGTGCCACTCCTGCTGGGTCTCACTCCAGCATTCTTGCTCACAAAGGAAACACTGCAAATTGCAAGACATTGTTACACAATCTGTATCAAAATATGGGTGGAGGAAGGAAAGGGAGAAGGTGGAGAAATGAAGAGGCAGGACAGAGAGAGAGAGAGAGAGAGAGAGAGAGAGAGAGAGAGAGAGAGAGAGAGAGAGAGAGAGAGAGAGAGAGAGAGAGAGAGAGAGAGAGAGAGAGAGAGAGAGAGAGAGAGAGAAAGAGAGAGAGAGAAAGAGAGAGAGAGAAAGAGAGAAAGAGAAAAAGAGAAAAAGAGAAAGAGAGAAAGAGAGAAAGAGAGAGAAAGAGAGAGAGAGAGAGAAACTGTGTGTGTGAGAGTGAGAAGAAAAGAAAACTATCTGAGGATTTTTTAAAGATCCTAATCTAACATGAGATACTAAAATCATACTTGGACTGAGGTTTCCCTAGCCTGTTCTGACACCGAGACCTGACTCGGGTCGGGGATTATCTCTCTTTTGGCCAGCCCTAAGTGTGTTTTTTGTGGAACTAAGGGAACCAGACTTTGAGGGTTAGTGAGGATGTACAGTATACATGTTAGAAGTCTATTCAATATTGTTATGCCATTCTAACATCAATGTAAACATTTTAAAACCAGCCCAGATGCTGTAAGTTTAGCATAATTGAAATGCAATGTCTGGCAAAACCTCAGCTTTATTGTTCGAAATATATATAAATACACTTGATTAGATTATATATAACTTACCTGATATGACTCTATGGTCTTTTCTGTGTGCTGTTTCACAAGATGATGCCTTAGAGTTGCTGCAGATGGAAGAACAACGGAACAGACGTAGCACCTGAACCATTCTGACAAAAGAGGCTCCTCTGATTCTACTGGAGTTGCTTTGGCCTTGCGCATGACTGGTTTATTTGGTGAGGCTACTGCACATATCTTCCTCTTCTTTGATTTTTCTGAGGATGAATCTTCCTCACCTTCTTCTGGAGTCTTGGGTATGTCAGGTAAAGGAGGTGATGATTTTGCCCTTTCAAGTTCCATGACACTTGGTGGGTCTGGCTCGTGACATGATGTCAATTCATGTCTGCCACCTTCTTTTTCTTCTGTCTGTGGGTTCAGTTTGGGTTCTGGCAAATTGCTTTTCTCTTCTGCAACATGCAGCTCCCCGTCCTGATCTTCTTGTTTTCCTACTGCATCTAAACTGATTTGCTTTGGGAAGCTATTATCACAGGTGTCAGGTAACTGAAGCTCATTATTCTCCTCAAGTATGATCTCAGGGGTGACAGGGATGTTCTCAGGGAGTGCGTCGTTCATGAGCAAGGCCTCGTCCTCCAGGCTCACAATGAACACCTCCTTCTCGAAGACAGGAAAACACTGGAAAACAACCCCGTCTTCACTCATGAGGAAAGGGGCAGCATCCAGCAGGTCAATCTTCCTCCCTTGTTCATCGCCATTACTCTCCGCTGTGTTTCCATCCGAGGGATTCTCGTTGTCTTCTCGCTTCTCTCCCACACTAGTGGAAGCCTCACCCATGGCAGAAGTCCTTATCTCTCGAATATCCTCCGTGCACTGAGTACCCACTTCCTCAGGGACTCCCTCCTTCGATGTCGTGGCTCCGTCATTGACGCTGAACACCGACACCCCTTCGAGGTATTGGCAGGGTTGGTTCAGCATCGAGTCCACTTTGATCAGGTTGCCAGCGTCGAATCGTGACGCCAGCTCTGAAAGGGTGGACGATAGCAGCACCGGTCTCTGTCCCATGTTGCCATCATCACTCGGTGCCAGGTCCTGCACCATGCCCTCCCCAACACAATCCCGAGACCTCGCGTCAGAGGTGGCAAGAGGGGGACACTCCAAAACCCTCTTCTCGTGCAAGTCGGGGTCATCTTGGCTATTTTCATTCATTGTCCTCTGGTTTTCTTTTAGAGTGTGGGGAGGGTTCCTCTGTGTCTCTGCTGCATTGGTCAGTTACTTATCCCTGTAGGAAATAATAAATATTAATGTCTTTTATACAGTAGGGCAGAAAACAATATTATAAGCTGTCATGAGAAAGAGGGTGGATGGAAGGGAGAGTGGGAGGAAGGATGCGAGAGGAAAGGAGAGAGAGAGAGATGGAAGGAGGGAGAGGGAAAGGGAAAGGGAGAGGGAAAGGGAGAGGGAGAGGGAAAGGGAGAGGGAGAGGTAGAGGGAGGGAGGGAGGGAGGGAGAGAGGAAGAAAGAATGGGGGGGGGTAGATGAGAGTGAGGGATGAGGAGAGGAATCAAGAGAGAAAGAGATAGAGAGGAGAGAGAGAGAAAGGAGGAGATAGAAACAGGCATTTTAAATGATAAACACTATAACACAAGTAATATAGTAATGATGAAGAAAAGACATATTGGAGATAAAATATTGCTTATCCATATCTATTTATTAAACAATATTTGAAGACATCAAAGTTACATCCATGAGGTGGGGGGGAGTGGTGTGTGTGTGTGTGTGTGTGTGTGTGTGTGTGTGTGTGTGTGTGTGTGTGTGTGTGTGTGTGTGTGTGTGTGTGTGTGTGTGTGTGTGTGTGTGTCTATAGTAACATAAATTAATGATAAAATATTCCACAAATATCTGCCAAGAGAGGAAACACTTTTTTAGCATTCCAGCAAAGGCAAATTGATGGAGCTTTGTTGGTATTTTGCTAGAGATACCAAAGGTGTGGCAACATGGCAAATGTTTGATTTAATGTGAGTTTCTTTACTGACTATGTTATTATAATAGGTGGTCAACATTAACTATAACTAATATAATGGTTTGTGATACAGCTGTATTCCGTGCATTCACCTAAATGGTCAGTACATATCTTGGTTAATGTTACTGAGAGCGACGCACAAAGATAGAGGGAAATGGACACTGCCATTATATAGAGCATAAGAAATAGAGTAGAAAGCAACACAGGTACATCAGCAGTGGCCTCATATTAACAGCGAAATCACCAAAATAGCCCCCTGCAATACCCTCGTGACCAGAGTTCTTAATATGTATTTTTGTAAGTTGGCAAAAGATGCTAATAAAGGGGGGTATAGGGTGGTTTGCCGCACTGTTTAGGGAATAAATATAGGGAAGGGTTAGGCTTGGACTTTGGGGTTGCAGGATACCCTGGTTTTGGAACTGTCTCTGAACGTAAGTCGCTCTCGGTAACATATCTTAACTAACATATAACCAGTAAAATTGTTACTACTGTCGAAGCTGTGGTGCTATTAAAATAAATGTGACAACTGAGTCTGTGCACCATGCCATCTTTCAGTTTTTTCATCATTACCATCTTCCAACATATCAAACAAAATGGTAATCTCTGGTACACTATCATAACATAATCACAAACAGCGAAAACGGCACAAAATTCTCTCAAAATACCATTTATATGATATATCCATCACAATCTATATATAAAACAACCTTGAAGGCAAAACGCCCTTGTCACTAGACCTTCTACACCTACACTTCCTTCCCTTTCTAAATCAAACCAAAACCACAACAGGAATTCCCCATTCTTCTCCTAAACACGGCATGCTCGCAAAAATACTCCCATAATTACCATAATTTCCCTTTCCAGTCCCTCAAAAGTGGCTCTGGCTGCGGCTCCTCAGCGCCAAATCTC